TGATTAAAACCATGATCATGACTAAATTTATAATTTGGAATAACCTGAAATGTTCCCCAATAATAAGAGAATCAAACTTAGAACTAATATCACCCATAAGACAAACAAGGGCATACATTATTGTCTGCTCCAATCAAAAATGGTTCCAAATTCTTTCAGCAGGCCTCTTGCACCTTCTCGATTTTCTCAACTCCATATAAGCATTAAAACAATATGAAAGTTTATTCTTGAAAATTCCATAAAAAGAACAATATGATGGGATATTTTCAAATTCAACCATATGTCAATAACCAGAAGGCAAGATGCCAATCCACATTTCCTTCCAAAATGAACAGTAAAATTCAATTCCAAAAACTCTGATAACATAATATCTAAAAAGGTGGGCAGTAGTAGCATTCCCTTGCAAATGTTACCAAATATAGAACCAAACAAGTATAAAATAGATTGACTGAAGCATTATAAATGAAGTCACTGGAATGCAATCCAAACATGAGGGAGAGCTTGCCTCTAAGAAAAACCTATTGATGATATAGAGTCGTGAAACTAGAAAAATAAGTAGCCCCCACCTAGTAGCCCCCACCCAGCACGCGCGCATAAAAAAGAAGAGGGAAGAGGGGGGAAAATATTCACCAAAGCAAAGAGGCATCAAAGAGAGAGGAAGCAATGGGAATTAACCAAGGCCCAAGGTGCAGTCAAAGTTAAGGATGTGTCAGATTAGAAAAAATTAGGAGGGTGAGCCTACAAAGGATAAGAAACAAAGGAAAGAAAAAAATTATCTAAAGGGGGGAAATTTGATTTGTAACAAAACAAGGGCATGACAGCCCTATCTGAACAAAACAACAATCTATGAAAACGGGATTAACAGCACCTACTAGAAAAAGCTAATCACATTCCGTAAGCCAAGCGTGAGCCCCTAGAGCATACAACAATAGATTGTCAGAGAAAACCTCAAAATGAAGCTATAGAAGGGGCGGGAGATAAACTTCTAGAGGGATGCAAGGCCGAGTGTGAGCATGCAGGGTGTGCGAGCCGAGCAAAATTGTGATAGGGCGGTGCAAGAATGAAGTGAGAACCTTTCCTTTCTTTCATTATGAGTATGTGTTGGAATTTATGTCAGAGGAGGTTATTTCTATTTGTAGAAAAAGTCTGAGGATCACTTGAGACTTTGCGTATCAATTTGGAAGCTATGAGATTAAGTTTTAGAAGTATCAAAACTGAATTCATTCCAAGGCTTCCCTTGAAAACAATTTTCGTCATAAAATTCTTGATTTTCAACAAAGGTTACAGCCTGGGAAATGAAAATTTTGAAATTCAAATGGTAACACTTGAGCCAATTTTTAGTTAAAGAGTGTCCTAGGAAGATGTATTTCACAGCTCTTAGATCAATTATAGTGTTTTGATAGTGTTGAAGGACATGTGCAATACCCTTAAAGATTTTAAGAAAAACCAATGTGTAATAAATGATTTTTAAAAAAATAATAATAATAACAAGAGGAACCACTTACTATCGATTCAAGTGAAAAAACTTATGTTCAGTTCCACCTATTAAACATAGAAGAAGAAATGGAACGAGAGTACGAGGGAAGATTGAGAGAAAGAAAGCAATGGAAAGAGAAAGTGAGGGAGAATGAGAGTGAGCAAGCGAGACAGAGAGGGTGAACGAAAGGGCAAGAATCAAAGTGATCATGTAAGCTGAGAAAGAAAGTGCAGTCGAGAGTGTGATGAAAGGGACAAGATGGAGACATCGATTCAAAAATTAGGAGCAATAAGGTTGATGGAGGAGCTTAAAAAAATTACCCTTGGATAATTAGGCGGTATTAATGATCAAGGTTTTTAAAATCGGATCAGATGTTGAACCGGACGACTCAGATATTCAAGGTTCAATGGCTCAAGACAGGTTGAATGGAGGATTAAACCGGATGCTGTAATAAATATTTAAATTACTTTAATTTAATTTAAATGATATATTACTAATTCAATATACAACATTTTAATTTAGAATTTTTAAATTTTAAATATATTGAATGGTTTTAAATTAAAGTTTTGAGAAAATATAGTTTAATCATTTTCTCAATTTTTAATCTAAATATTTATATCCAACCATGGGATAAAAATCAAAATGCCAAAATTAAATATTATTAAAAATCAGTTGGTTCTCTCAAACCCGGTCCAGTTCAATCACTAGTTTTTGCTGATTCCTACCGGTCATTTACATAAGCGGTTATGGTCTTGACCAAAAAGATCAAAGGATCAGCTCATGGTTGAACCGGTTGGACAAGCCGATGTAGTCTTATTTTTAAAAAATTGCTAGTGCTGCCGTCACTAAATCCTTTTTTTTTCAACTTATAGGGAGTTGATGTAAAGTTAATGGTTCTCGTATGAATAGCAATTTAGTCATTCATTGAGTCAGTTGATGCAACGTTTCATTTACCGTCGCAGTGTTTCATTTGCAAGCAATTCATGGTTGAACCAGTTGATGCAACGTTTCAATTTTACCATCACATTAGTAAAAAAGAAGTTGAGGCTTTAAAGAAAACCAAGGGTGGAAAGTTTGTAGGACCTGATGATATCCCAATTGAAGTGTGGAAATATTTAGGAGATTTGGGTGTTTCTTGGCTTACTAAACTCTTTAATATTATTTTAAAAACTAAAAAGATGCCTGAGGAGTGAAGGAAGAGTATTTTGGTCCCCATTTTTAAGAATAAAGGAGATGCACAAGAGTGTGCAAATTATAGAGGAATTAAGTTGATGTGACATACTTTAAAATTATGGGAGAGGATAAATGAACATAGGTTATGACGCATTACAAAGATTTTTCATAATCAATTTGGATTTATGTCGGGCAGGCCTATCATGGAAGTTATACATTTATTGAGAGGTTTTGATGGAGAAGTTCAGAGATAATAAGGAGAATCTACATTTGATTTTTATTGATTTAAAAAAAACTTACGATAAGGTTCCAAGAAATATCCTTTGGAGAGTTCTTGAGAAGAAAGGTGTTGATATGACTTATATTCAAGTCATTAAAGATATGTATACTAGAGCTGTTACTTGTGTTCAAACTGAAGGAGGATTGACAAAATATTTTCCTATTTCAGTTGGATTACATTAGGGATCGACTTTAAGCCCATATATTTTTGCTTTAGTTATGGATGGTCTTACTGGACATCTACAGGAGGATGTATCTTGGTGTATGTT